CCAATTGGCCAAAGAGCTCTTCCTCTCCCGCGAGCACATGCTCAAGCTGGCGTATACCTCGTCGCCGCCGGATGAGTCTGCCGCTGCCGCCAAGTCGATGATGCCACGGCCGCGCAAGCGAAAACCCCCAGCGCTCTCGATGGAGAACAAAATGTGCTCGCAACGGGCAAAGAAGCGGTATGTCCAGGAGCTCCTGGAGGTCATCCAAGAGCTCAAGGTGCCCCCGGGTGAGATCAGTGCCGAGGAGGAGGACGAGGAGTGTGCGGATCTAATGAAGCGTCTGCCCAAAATGGAGACGGAGCCCAAGGTGGAGGCGACCGCCGTGAGGTCCTCGAACGCGGCGGACAAGAAAAGCATTTACAATACCTTCTTCAAGCGTCGCCCTGGGGTGGATGATGAGCAGGTCCTGCGCTCCATGCAGGCCGGCAGGATCCCGCAGTTGAATGATAAGAATTTCAAAAAGTATCTGCGGGACTACAAGCGACGGAAAGTGGAGCAACCGGTAAGCATTGGTCTTCGGTTCCCAAAAAAGGGACACTTTAAATGTATTTTTCTGTTTACAGGAAAACCCCGAATTCGATACATCGGAGGTGCGTTTGAGGGATATCTGCACGCGGGCACAGTTTGTGGGCAGCTTCAAGCCGGGACGCAAGCCAAAGGCATTGCTGGCGCGCCTCAATCCCGATCCACCCGCTCTGGTGCGCATTGGGGTGGTCAAAAACGAGCCCGAGGAGGATATCTTCATCAAAGAAGAGACGCAGCAGCAGCAGAAGCACCATTTGCAGCAACAGCAGGATCATGTGCCCAAGGAGCCAATGCCAAAGAAAATGCCACCACAAATAGGAGCGGCGGCGACTGCTGCTGCTCCGGTGCCCGCATTGATCCCCAAGCTGGAGCCCATAAGTGTGCCAACACCAGCCTCAACCATAATTTCCAATCTTTCAACCAATTCCCCAACCAATCCTCCTCTAAAGGCGGCTGCCCACATCGTAGGCAGTCCCCCCGCCAGAGGAGGGGAAGTGATTCGAACTGCGGCATCGCCTCGCCCTGCCTGCTACTTCTCTCTGCTGCGAGATCTGTTCGTTTCCACGCCACAGCATCGTTTGACCTACGGAGAGCTGCAGATTCTGTTGGCCACCTGGCGGGAGAAACATTCCGATGCTGTCATCCCCACGGGCGATGTGGCCCGAATCCAGCAGCCCGATTGGTCGTCGCTGCTTCAGTCCGCAGTCAACTTTCTGGCGGCCGATGTTGGCCCACTGCCGGCGGAATATGTGCCCTACATAGAGCACAAGACCATGTTGAATATCTACCAGTGGATTGGCGCTGGCAGGGACTCCGATGCGCGACTGTGCACCCTCTGCCAGTACTGGCTGAAGACCCAAAAGGAGGAGCAATCCGTAGCCACAACGGTGCATCTGAATCCCAGCCCGGGGACCATGTTTATTGCAACCGTACCCACGTCCATGCACGTGGATGCATCACCGACGCCGCCGCCACGGTGCCCCACCACCTGGACGGTGCGCACGGCCAGCCAGGCGGACATCCTGGAGTTCCAGCGGCAGGAGAGGCTACGCTTCGAGTATCCCCATCGACCGTTTACGTATCGCCTGAACGGCTACGAGAGCGTGGTGGGTCCCGTCAAGGGCATCTACACCCAGAGCTTGCCCCTAAATAAGGCCCGAGGACATGCCGTGATGGTGGACGATCGACCGCCGTTCGTGACCATTCTGACGCTGGTAAGGGACGCCACGGCCCGGCTGCCCAATGGCGAGGGTACACGCTCGGAAATCTCAGAGCTGCTGAAGTGCTCGCAGTTCGTGAATCATCAGGCGGCGGAGAACGTCCTGCAGACGATTGTCAGCGGTGCGCTGGATCGAATGCACGGCGGGATCGATCCCTGTGTGAAGTACGATGCCAAGCGCAAGATCTGGATCTACTTGCATCGCAATCGCAGCGAGGAGGAGTTCGAACGGATGCACAAGCTGAACATGTCGCTGGTGAAGCAGAAACAGCAGCAAAAGAAGAACCTGGCCAAGCCAAAGAAGGAGGATGGCGAAAGCACTATGGAAATGCTGGATATGCCAGCATTGGTAGCCTCTGCGGGCAATCCCACTCCTGCTGCTGGCGTTTCTGTATCCCCTGCAGCTGCTGGGCCTCTCCTGCAAGTGAAGAAGCTTCCTCCGCTCCCTGTCAAGTGCCCCCCCGTGCCGCCTCTCAAGTACAACATACCACCTGCCAACAACAACAACACCAGCACAACAGCCCAGCACTCGCCCACTGCTAATACCACGCCCATCCCGTCGCCGACAATGCAGAAATCCCTGCTCAAGCCCGTGCCCATGGGTGCAGTGCATCGACCCGTGGCTGTGGGGACCCCAAAGGCGGGTAATTTTTCTATATCCAAGATCAGTCCCCAAAGGAACACCACACCCATACTGGTATCGACACCCAGTGGCATGCAGACGGTTCATGTGGCCACCACGCCCACTTCTACCCAAGGATCATCGACTGCGGCGGCTGTTAACAAAAAGCTGATGATCAAAAAGACACCGACAACGAGCAAAATAGGGAACTTTATCATACCATTGGACCAGCAGCAGCAGCAACAGCAGCAGCAACACTCGCCACAGCAGCAGCAGCATCCTCAAGTGCTGGGCAAACCCAAGTCCATGACAATAAGTCCACGCCCGCAGATGCCCAAGAATATTATACGATTGCTGCCCGCTGGTGCGGCAGCCACAGGCCACACAAAGCCACCGCAAGTGCAGATACTGGGTCCACGCGTTGTACCCCAATCGACAGTGCGTCCGGTGCAGCAAAAGATTGGCGCCGTCTCCATAATATCCAATAAATCAGTGGCAACATCGACGGAGACCAGCACTTCACCCATAACCATTGCAACGAGCAGTAGCACGGCCGTAAGTGCCGTCACTGGAGGAGGAACCATCGTAAAGATGTCGCCCCAGGCTTTTGCAACGCTGCAGCAACAGCAACTGAAGCAGAAGGCGATGGGTGGCACGGCAAAGATTGCATCGCCAGTGCAGAGTACGCCACAGCAAAGGATATTAGTGGGTGAGTGCCCTGCCACTTCTGAGGTCTTTTCCAGTGTCTAATCTAATACTCTTTTGATTTCACAGGAAATACAGCCATTTCGTCGAACAAAAAGATTGTTTTCCAAGCACTGGCCAAGACCTCACCCAAAATACTCACCACAACGGCCACCATTGGAGGAACGGTGGCTGTCAAGGGTAATCTGTCGTCGCCACAGCAAAGGATTGTGCTGCAGAACTTCAAGCAAGCGGCTGCAGGAGGTGCCGCAACGGTTGTCAGCACCTCGAATGCCACGCGTGTGATACGGACAACAACGCCCGTGAGCACAGCAGCGGGCGGAGCGAGTGGTAGCCCCACCACTCAGGGTGGGCAGATCATTACGCTGGACAGTCTGCTGCAAAAGCAGCAGCAACAGCAGCAGCAGAGTGGAGGGAAACTCCTCACGACTGGCAGCAACATCATCCAGTTGGCAACCTCTTCGTCGGGCAATGTCATCACCCTGACGCCCAATCAAAGCCAAGCAACGCAGCCCATCCAAGTGCAGGCCAAGCATCTGCCGACGATGGCGCGCATTGTGAGTGCAACGGGCGGAGGGGGACCCACGATGGTGCCCAAGATCATTGGCAAGACGACAGTGCTGTCGGGCAAGCCACTGCTGCTGCATGCCAAGGCAATCAAGCAGCTAGGAGGCGGTAGTGTTGTGACCACTCAACCCACAGCTACAACGACAACAGCGGGAACAAATGCTGTGCGTACGACACAGAGCATTGTGATTGGCGGGCAGACGGTGAAGATCCAAGGAGCGGTACGAAATCCAGCAATCCTCTCCTTGATTTTTTATTAATGCATTTCTATTGCAGATTCCCGCACGTCCCGGTGGGGCACCCATGCAGACCGTGATCATGGGCAACCAATTGCTTCGCTTGGCGCCCACCACCAGTGGCAGCGGCAGCAGCAGCAGCAGCACCAGCACCACCACCAACAACCACCTCACCACAGTGGCATCCAGTGGCATAGCGACTGCACCAAAGACCCTGCTGATTGGGGCTGGCGGCACACAGACCCTGCGTCTGGCCAAGAACGTCCTGTTGGCCAACAAGCAGGGCACTTCGAATAGCACGGGGAGCAGCAATGCCACAGGAGGAGCCACAGCTGGCAATAATCTCGTCTTTGCCGTGCAAGGCAATGGCGGACAGTTGTTCTTCTCGCAGGGATTGCAGGGCATGAACCTCAAGCCGTTGTCCAACATGAAGGTGATACCCATGGTGACGGCCGCAGGAGCTGCTGCTGCCGCTGGTGGCAAGATCACTGTGACGACGACGGCCGGGGGAGAGGCTAAGAAACTAATGTCGGCAACGGTCCTGAAGACGGCGGCCAGTGGGAATGGTAATTAGCAGGAGGACTAGGAGTGCAGTGCGGAGTGGCAGTCCCAGTGGGAGAGGCTTGTTAATCATGTTGTTTACCTTCTTCTTGGGGTTACATTTTTCTTTGATTTACTTTAAACACATCGTGTAATTTATAATTCTAATTTTAGGCAAAAAGTTCTTGCAAATAATTAATGCTTAGAGTGTCGGTCGCTTCGCGTATGGCAGCGGCCGGCACACACCACATAGAAACCCCCCAATAAAACTCAAACTGAATCAAAAGAGCACATTTTTTTCTGGTAGTTTTGTTTCTTTGTTTTTAATTTTGCAAAACAAAATATTCTTTACATATGTATATTTAAATTTAGTTTTCTTTTTTCTTTATTAAATAACTTTTAACTCTTTTAACTTTTAAAAATATATATAAAAAAAAAAGAAAAAAAATTTATTTAGTTTCTATTTGTATACAAAAATTATCTGAATTTTTTCCAATTAATTATTGTTTTGTATTTTCCCAAAAAATAAAATTGGAAAACTTCAAGTTTTATTTCCATTTAATTGTTGTGGTTTTTTTGAAAATTATAATTTGGAAGCTTTGTACCTTTTTGTGAAGTTTTTGCTTTTATGGCTCGACTCCTGGGCAACCTATTCTTCAAGGATGCACTACATAAATCATTAATTTATCCATATTAGTACCTAGCTTAAACAATAACTATATGTAAATGAGAACATGGCATTTTCCAAAGCAAGAACTAATTCTGTTTGTGCATTTGAAAAAGGAAAATGAAAATTATGGAAAATTGTGATCTCATACTGAAGAATGAAAATACATTTGTTAAGGATCCAGGATCCAATCCAGGATGTGCTGTTGAAGATCACAAAAGGTGTAGAGCCGCCTAGAAGGGCGCCTTCTTGTGCTGCTTGAGATGACGATTAAGTTTGATTTTTAAATCGAATGGCTTGCCGCAAATGTGGCACTTGAAGATGGATTTGTCGAAAGAATTGTTGTTTGAGGAACTATAGCTGCGGGAGCTGCTATTCAGGTTTTCACTCCAAGAGGATGATTTCTGAGGACTTGAATCCGATTCAGTGTCCATGTCCACGTCCATGGCCATTGAAATGGAATGCAGCTGTGGCGGTGCTTTTACTTTCTGGGATGGACTCATCATATTCTCGTGTTTCGCCAGGACATGGTCCTTCAGTTGCTGAGCCTCCTCAAAGTTGTCGCTACAGAAGGCGCATTGTATCACACAAATTGGCATTATGGGAGAGTAAGCCACTGGTAGACTCTCCTCAGTGGTGGGCTCCTGCTCCTGCTGGTGGATCGGAGAGGAATTAACGGACAGTACCTCGGGTGGCAGCTGCTGCTGCTGCTGGACTGGCGAATGCAGCGGATTCGGAGAAGTATTTGATAGCTCTCCATATTTGCGCTTATTTTCTGAAGAAGGCATTGGAGAAAACAGAGCTAGAGTCTGCTTTAAGGCATGCTCTTGGGTTGCAGACGAAGTGCATGGCTGGTTAAGAGACTGAAGTACAGAGGAAGTCGACGGCAGACGTAGATGGTTGTCAACATTGAGGTTCTTATGGTCTGGAGCGAAAGGAGTAACAGGCATCAGGTTATGGTCTGAAGAAGAACGACTTTGAGCACACAGAGATTCGCGTTCTGCAAAACAAGCAAAAGATGAGAAAATTAGGTTAAAAATTAACATTTCAGGACACTTACCATGCTTATGCTTCATCATGTGCGACTGCAGAATATGGGGTTTCATAACTGGAATGAGAGGAAAAGTATTATTACCATGATTATATCAATGCTTTAGATGATACATACTTTTGCCACAATATTGGCACACGGTACGCGAATGCACCGCTCGTTTGTGCTGCTTGAGGATCTCTTTAGTGTTGGAAAAGAAGCCACAAATCGGACATTTCAAACGCCGCTGGAGTTTGTGAAATTTCATGTGTAATTTAAGCCGCGACTCTTTGGAATTTAAAAACTTCTTGCCGCACAGATGACACTCCCAGTCTTTGGAAAGATGCATGTTCTGCATATGTGCCTGGTGAAGCTTCTGATTAGGGAACTCATGGGAGCAGAGTTTACATATAACAGACGCTGATTGTGTGGGCTGCGGAATCGTTGTGGCATCTTCATCATCGTCATAGGTGAATTTTACGACTTCTTCATCGCTCTCGTCATTTTCATAGGGTATGGAATCATCAAAGGATATGGATGTGGCATTGGGATCGAGTTTGGTCTCATTTTCAGAGCACATGCCATCAGTATCTGGATCCTTTTCTTTGGTCGCAGTCTTTAATATGAACACGTGATCCGCCTCGGTTTTTACAGCCACCGGAGCAAGCTCTGGTTGCGGTTCTGGCGGTACAAATTTCATTTCAGTCTGTTGTGCCGGCACACGGGCCATATGCTCTGCTTTAATGGGCACATGTTGTATATCGAAGGCAGCGGAAACCCGCTGACTGCCGTCTTCGTCGCTGACTTCATTGTCAGAGTCCAGGTAAACGAAGGCACAGAACTTCTCCTTTGGCTTGCTGTCGGGTTCCTCTTTGATATTTATCCCAGGGTTCTGCTGTTGCTCCACCCAATGCTCATGGGTCTCCAAGCAGCTCTGCTTAAATTTCAGCAATCTCTGGAATTCAGCTATGCAGGAAGTGCACATGTACTGCGAACGCCCGTCTTCCTTTTGTATCTGTGTCGGAGGCATATACATATAAAACTTTGATTCGATCCGAATAAAAGATGGCCGGTCCGTGCTAACTCACCATTAAATTCCAGTCGGTCATCTGTTGCAGTATTTCGGCCATCGAAACATCTAATTTGGCGTCGCCGGTTGTCGTCGGGAAAAATATTGGCTTAATCAGATCGTCTTCGGTGCAATAAAAGGTTCCGCAGGTGCGGCACGGCTCAAAGGTGCCGTTATCCCAGCTACTAAAATCTGGGCAGATTTCCATTTTATTGTGATCTGATCGCCTTATATTCACGCAGATTTACGCGAGATTTGAGCTATGGCCGATTTTTTTAGCTTTCATGGGATTTTTTTTATACAAAACGTAAATACACAATTTTACCTACACGTTTACTACAAATTTGCTACACAATGGAAGGAAAAAGAGGTGTGGCCAACAGGCAACACGGCCTAGAAATTGCAACGCATGGCCTGTTGTCCATACCCTTTTTAATAGTTCATTCGAAATTACGACTCATTTTTTCGTCGTAGGAGAGAGCAGAAAATTCGAACTTAGCACACTTAAGACCCTTTATTTAAACCGTTTAAATCCTGAAGCTAAACCACGAAATAAAATAATTTTTGTAAATGTTCCCTGCATATCCATCCTATACTTCCTGTTTACTTAAAAAAAACTGCGGTTTCTTGTACATAAACTGCGCAAAACTTCTTCAAGAATAATTATTTTCGTGGAGTTTATTTTAATACACCCTGGTCGACAATGGGTCAATATTAATTTCACGAAAGGAAATTATATTCGGCTTAATATTGCTAGCAAGATACGATCCTCAGCCCTGAACACATAGTTTTATCCGATAAATGAATCAAATGGATAGTTTAAAAGATTGCCTTTTACTGGATTGTGTTTAAAATAAGGCTGAAGCAAATACAGTCAAAGCAAAAAATACCTCCAGGAAAAAAATAAAAATCACGCAAAAAAGGTCGTTTACCAACACTGATTCTATTGTTTTTATTCTCTATCCGCACCGTCCTGCTCTGCTCTGCTGATAATTGCTATCTGCCAAACTTAAAACGAAATTTGGTTAGACGGCCACTGCAGCGTCACAAATGAATCTGACGGAGCAAAATCCGTATGGCAATGGGATGCTTTACGCAGCCTTCAACCAGGACCAAGGTATGTTGTTTACATAGTCACGAACCCAGCCAGTCAGCGCCAGCACACACACACACGCACGAACATTATGTACTATAATATTTTCCACAAAAATTTGCTATTGCGTTGCAGGATGTTTTGCCTGTGCCACGGACACGGGCTTTCGCGTCTACAACTGCGATCCGCTGAAGGAAAAGGAGAGGCAATACTTTCCCGAGGGTATGTACATGAATTTCCCCAACCGTGTAATCCAATTTTACTGTCAACTCATTGTTTCGTCTCTTAGGCGGTCTCAGCCATGTTGAAATGCTCTTTCGCTGCAATTATCTTGCCTTAGTGGGTGGCGGCATACGGCCGCTCTATCCACCCAATAAAGTGATCGTTTGGGATGATTTGAAAAAATCTCCAGCCATATCGTTGGACTTCAATCAGCCGGTTCGTGCGGTGCGACTGCGTCGGGATCGGATTGTGGTGGTGCTGGAGGGTGTGATCAAGGTATTTACGTTCACCCAGCAGCCGCAGCAGTTGCACGTCTTCGAAACCAGCGCCAATCCCAATGGTCTGTGCGTGCTCTGCCCCCATAGCAATAAAAGCCTACTTGCATTCCCTGGCCGACGCACTGGCCATGTCCAGATCGTGGATCTTGCCAACACGGAGCGTGCCCCCCTGGAGGTGATTGCCCACGAGGCGGCCATCAGTTGCATTGCCCTAAATCTGCAAGGCACACGTCTGGCCACCGCCGGGGAGAAAGGAACTCTCATACGCATCTTCGATACGGAGAATGGGAAGAAGGTTTCAGAGCTGCGACGTGGCAGCAACCATGCGAATATCTTTTGCATTAACTTTAATCACCAGTCCACCATGGTTGTCGTTGCCTCCGACCATGGCACCATACATGTCTTCAATCTGGAGGATAACAAGCCGCGCGAATCATCGCTACCCATAATACCCAAGTATTTCTCAAGTCAATGGAGTTTCGTGAAGTTCTCCATACCACAGGGACCGCGGTGTGTGTGTGCCTTTGGTGCCGATCCAAATTCAGTTGTGGGTGAGTCCTTATCCTTCTTTCTCCCTTTGGATACCTGTGTTTACCCTTTGCTTTTTGCTCGATTTAGCCATTTGTGCGGATGGACATTATTATAAATTCCTATTTAATAACAAGGGCGAATGCAGTCGAGACATCTGTACACAATTCCTTGAGCTGCAGGATGATGAGACATAGGGAGCCCCGTGCTGGAGGAGCTGCTTCTATCTACATAAATCTATATATATATATATACATATATATACAGAATATATCTCTATGGAAATGTGTTATACAATATTACTTCTAAGCATGCTTTAAATTACGTTAAAAAATGTCCTCGAGTTCACATATAAAAAGAGTAGTTAACGATTGATTGCAATGCGCTCTGTCTCTCTGGGTAGAATGTAGTATAAAACAAAGCCCATTCTTGTGTAAACATATAACTAAATATTTAGATTTATTTCTCAGAAATATCACTGGAATGTTAAGCACTTGGAAAGGATGGTTCGGCTGGGTTCAAACCCCCCTCACAGATGTGTGGTATTGCTCTCCTCAAACGCGAGATTGGTTGCCCCACTTCGTCCATTCTGGGCCGTTCTGGGCGTAAAGTCACTTTGCTGCAAATGTATGATCTTGGACTGCTGCTGTGATGTGATTGGCACATGAAAACTCTGCATTGTGTCCACATTGATGGCATTTCCCGGCATCTGGATTTCATCTTTGATGGGAGGCTTCGTTTTCGGCTGTTTACGTAGTAAATTCATATCGGATTTCTTGGAGAAATGAGCCTCAATTTCCTACAACAAAAGAGTACCATTATAAACCAAAATTAATTGAGAATAATTAAGGTACTTACACCCAGCGTACGTCCTTCGGTCTCTGGCAGCGTGTAATACAATACCACAGTCCCTATGAACGCCACGGAGGCATAAAAGGCAAACGTTCCCGGCAACGTCAAGGCGGCTAACATCCACAGAAACAGTTTGTTGGCCAGAAAACCAAAGATGTAGCCCACTCCGCCAGCAAAACCCGAAGCGCTGTTGCGTATTTCTGCTGGAAAGACCTCACCAATCAGGATCCAGGGTAGCATGCGTATGCCCAGATGCGAAAAGAACGCGGATAGCAGCAGCAGGATGAGTGGCACCCACACAAGGTAGTTTTTCTCTTGTTTTGGGACAGCCAGCAGCAGATCCTCCGCAATGGGGGGCTTTGCAGAGCTGGTGGCCATCGCGGGAGGTGGATTTGGAGGCGGCTCCGGACTGCTCGATGGCTCTGTCGGCCACATTGTAGTCTCCATTGGGACGCCATCGGTGGTGGTCTCCAGCTCCCTTTTGGAGCGATTCCATGACTCCAAATCAAACATTGTAGTTGTCTCGAACATCTCTGGCAGCAGCGTCGTCAGTTGATCCACCTGATCCTGTAGAATGGCCTGCTGTTCGTTCTCAAATATCTTTGATATGTTCGCCTGCGAAAGGATGCCCTCCTTGGGTACAATCGATGAGGCATTCACCACCACATTGTTGACTGTGAATCCGGGCACTTCGTTGAGAAAGTGGGCATAGGTGGCAGTGCCAAGGAAGCAGAGGCCCGTGCCCACGGTGGAGACCAGAACCAGCGGTCGTTTGCCCGTAAAATGGATGAGTATCACGCCCAGAATGGTAGCTAACATCTCGGCCACACCAAGGAGTATGGTGGCATGGTATTTATTCATAGGTGCCTTGAGGGTGTGGAAGATCTGCACAGCGTAAGTCTGCAGGGGGGTCTTGCCCGAAAAGTGTCCTGTGAAAAAGGCGAACGAGACCAAAAGAAAGGGCACCAGGAAGCTTCTCTTGCGCCACATTCGTAGGCGTTGGCCCAGTGTGCGACGACTGGGTGCTACTGGCACCCCATCGGCTGTGCACTCGATGGCCTTCTGTGTGATCAATTCGTCGTACAATTGATTGAACTCCGCCTCGATTTTGTGCTCTGGCACCCAGCCCCTCAGCCACTGCAGCGACTTGACGGCCTCCCGGAAACGCTGCTCCCTGATCAGCCACACGGGACTCTCCGGGACAAAGCACAGCATTACGATGGTAATCACCGGAAAGGCAGAACTCACCGCGGCCACACTCCGCCAGTCCATCAGTGAGCCAAGTATGAACTGTATAAAGACCCCGGTGATGACACAGGTGGTGCCCAGCGCTGACAGAATGCCACGATACTTGGGCTCTGTGATCTCCGCCACATAGGTCAGCACCTGAAAGAAGCATCAAGGTTGCTCGTTACACAGAGACTGACATTAAGAGCTGCGATTGGCATCTCGCAATTCGCAACGGCTGCTTGTGGCTGCGGCATTCGCAAGTGGCACAAACACAACTGGCAGGTGAAGCTCTCAAGGAGTTGGTCAAGGTCGAAAAACCACAAAAGCCATGCTATTGTTGCAAGAGGCAACGTTCAACCAAAGTTTATGGTCCTGAAAAATACACTTTTTCCTCAGGAAAACTATACAATCGATAGATTTTAAGTTAAATTGACTATTTTTGCATTCGAAAAGCAATCTGAGAACGGTCCTGATATTCTTGAAACAACCCTCTAAAGCCGTAAGAAATCAAATTAAATAATCTTGAAACCATAGAAATTGCAATTAGGCAAAGTCTATACATATGTATATAAAAAACGCTTCGATGTGCTTCTGTGCCGTAGTTTCAAAATGAACATCTTATGGATTGCTGTGTTGCTTCTAAGTAAAGACTATTTTCATATTTCAGGAGAGTTCATTTACTATAAGACGAAATATCCCTACCACATTGATCGCAAGTCCTATCCCAAACCAACCAAGCCGATCAACTATTGCAAGTCACAGCTCTGCCCAGGGAAGGTACGTCACCTTACCTGTGATTCGAAATTTGTGAGTATATAACATGCGAGACCATCCGATCCGATCAGGCGATTCATCAGTGAAGATTTTCTTTCCTGCCCAGTGGGGTCCCAAGTGTGGGAACAGCCACGAGGGCGTGAAACTCAAAAAGAGCATGAAGAAAATTATTGATCTACACAATTCGGTACGCTTCCGATTGAACCGGGGACTAGCTTATGGTCTTCCTCAAGCGAACCGACTGCCTTTGTTCAACTGGGACGATGAACTGGCGCTCATGGCGATGCGGGTAACCAATCAGTGCAATGAGGAATCGGCGGAAGTCTGCGTGAACACATTCCGCTTTCGCAATGTGGCAGAGACCTCAGATTTTGTCGATCTCAGTCGGCAGCCTGCCAAGCACATGTCCTTTTTTGTAACGAATTGGTGGAACCATTTATCCAAATTATCGCCCACACATGTGAATGCCTTTCCTGCCAATGCCTCCCGAGAAATGTGGATGTTTGCCAACATGGCGTACATGAAGACCACCCTGGTAGGCTGTGGCATGCTGGACAGCGGATCCAAGCGCTTCGTCACGTGCGTCTACAACAATAAAGTTCGACCGGGAAAGCGCCTCTACAATGTCATACCACACTCAGACGAAAGCAAATAATAAATATCTATATCTATGGCTATCCTCCCTCTCCTCTATTGACTGCACATTTTTGCATTGTTTTTGTTTTTATCTCAGTGTAATCTTTTTTCACACCTAAATCAATTTGCGGTTTCGCAATAGGCTCTGAAGTTTCGGGGGAAATATGTTAATTTTTGTACTTAAACAAAAGATCCAATATTTCAAACAAAGATTACGAGAGGACCTATTACAGACACGTGTTGGGGACCATTTTCGAGAAATTAATGAGTGTGGTTATGGGATACACTTACCGGCGCCTCCATCAATCCACCGCCGAGACCAGCGAGGCATAAAGCCGCATACAGGTGCTCCGTGCGCGTCGCAAAGTGAAACATTAACCAGGCCGCCAGTATAGGCAGGTTGACAAACTGCAAAAAAAACAAGCATCGATCGCAATTGCAAGTCAACATAATTACACAACAAAATTCAGTAGAAGTCACGCAGCTCCGATTTCGGATCAGTATGTCAATGTTCCATGTTCCACGTGATTTAATGGTCAGAGGAGGAGGAGGAGGAGGAGGAGGAGGAAGAGGAGGCTGGGTAAGAGGTGATGATGAGGATGATTGCGGCTAAGTGGGTTATGGCTTACCTGCATTGCACGCCGCTTGCCCAGCGGCTGTGTTAGCACGCCAGAGAAGAGGCATCCCAGCGGCACGCATATCAAATTTATGGAACCTTCAAGAAGTCAAAACGGAGAGATCAGTACACTCGATAAACTGCAACTCAAACTTTGTCTCTTACTGAACCAGGATATCTCATCTTTGTTGAGGATTATATCACTGTTTGTTTCGCTGCGGCCCTCGCCTCCTTGGATGGCAGGTATCACAATTGTGGGGAAGCCCAAAGTCATGCCATAGCCTGTGGATAATTCATGGATATATCAAAGGACCCATGCAAGATGTTTGCACGTTTTAAGGGAATGAAATTGAGTTCATGGCACCTACATACATACATTTTTGAAGGATCTGATGGTATCACCTGCTGGTTTTGAACCCAGGAATATTTAATATATTTAAAGCAACATCTACATATTTTAAATTCTTTGGAGTTTCGTATGCAAAATGTTGTTTATGGTATATTTAACTATATAAAATATCACCCAATTAAACGCTTGCTAATGAGACTACATTTGATGTATATTAATCCTGCCAAATGAATGAGGTTTATATGCAAATGCATTCCACATGGCTTTAAATCAAAGTATTTTATAGAAATTCCAATAACATTTAGACACACTCGTAGTGTTCCGAACAAATTTGGGTAATTATTAAGGTAATAATCAAGATGATCGAATTGAATTTCCAATCAATTTCTCAAACAAATTAATATCATTCCTCTAAAAATCATAAATTAACTAGAATTTGTAATGTTATTTACCGAATAGCAATATGTTCTTAATACTAACAGCTAAAAACTGTGGCAGGGCGCGTCGGAAGTTGCTGACTTCCACATCGTTTGCGGGGGCCAGACGTCCATTGCCATTTTGCATGAACAATGGCCGATCGTTCAATGAGCTACAAAACAGAAAATGCAATGTATTTAATTTCATTTAGCAATTAACTATTGGTTATTGTTTAAGCTAGAATTGTTCGCAAAGAATGCACTGTAATTTTTACCCATTTTTCTCAGCTGCGGCAGCAGCCTTGCCATTGGACATGGTGGCGTATACGCGATGCGCCTGTTTTTTCAGCTGTTGGTTTGCTTTTGTGCTTTCTGTTTCCGTTTGATTTGTGTTTGATGTTCGTTTTCACTGCTGTCTAGCGATCATTTAGTTGGAAATTATATTCCCATCATCACGGGGATCATTATGTTTACTTATAAGTGAGGGACTGAGACTCCAAAGCTAGTG